TTTGTAGCTACATTCAACATATTGTGTAATTTCTGTAACATAGTTTGTTTTTGGTTCACAAGTGATCTTCAAAAAGCCAAAGTAATCCAGAAACTGAGCAATGTCATGTCCTGCATATATTGCTTCAGTGAGTGCAATACATTCAGTTGTGTTTTACAAGGCTGTAATGTTTAATTTATTATTCCTTTGACTTTTACTTGATGCAAAGTAAAGCTGTCTTGTCATATTTATGTCCTGACCTTCTGCAAATGGTACAACTGGTGTGGTCTTATGATTGTTACTAATTTGTTTTTCATAAAACATAAAGAAGAAGAAGAAGAACAAGAAACACCTCAAACTTTCAGTTTCCTAAATGTCATTAGTAATTTTGATTATTGGTGTGGTCCTGTTTAAACTTAATTTACCTCAGACGGCAGAATAACAGAACAGTTGCAGTTGTTTTGCAGTACCTGTTAAGAAGCTGCCAATCAAACAATCAATGAACCATTCAACTCTGACAATCATGGCTCTGCTGTGCTGTAATGGATTGGTATCTGCGTTTCATATTACTGTGAATGGAGTTTTAGGTACGTTTTTTTCCCCCAATTCTGTGTCGTGTCTTCACTTCTAAGTGTAAACAGCACCACCTTTGAATGTTGTGTGTGTATGTTGGCTGAGTGTGTCTGTCGATACAATGTATCTACAGAAGAAAACAGTCCAATTGGATGTGGGTCATACAAATCTGAAAATCCTTCATCTGTCTGTTGGAAAACTGTTGCCTTTTGTCTTTTGTTACTATTTGGTAATTAAAAATAAACTGGTTTCAACCTTTTTGGATATGGGTTGTATGGTTTTTTTCCCCCGCCCAAGAAACATCCACAAGTCACACAGTTTACTTTGATGATTATTGTCAATGGATACTCAGGGTTCAGTATTGTCCCAGATTTGGTAATATTTCAGTTTGCCTAATTTTTTCATTACAAAATTTGCCAGGTGACAATGCAAAAGCTTCTTTCTGTTTATTGTGTTTTTATTAAATACAATTTTAAAGACAATTAACACGTCACAAAATTACTTAGAATAACTGGATGTATATATGCATTTTGATTGATATATAAATGTCATACTTGTTCCTTGAAATTGTACTTAACGTCAATAAAATTATTAAAATGATGTGTTCTTCAGATTTAATAGTAATATTTGTCATAAATTAGAGAATGTAAATATTGTTCAAGGTAGGTTACAAGATTGCAAGTGCAAGCAAGACTTTTGATATTTTAATTTTAAAAACTCAATCATAGGTAAGTTTTATTTTCCTTATTTCTTACCACCTTGTTCTAGTCAATCACATAAAATCCCCAAAATACGCTGATGTATAAAGGAATAGAAGATCTTTAGAAGTGAGAAACATGCAAGTTTATTTTGTGAATGAACTTTTATTATGACCGATATTAAAACAAATGAAGATGAAGGAGGGTGTCACAGTTTAAATGAGAATTACTGAATGATGGGGATACCAGCAAAGAAAAACAGAAACTATTATTTGCAGTATCAAAATAAACTCTGCACAACAATTGCTGTAGTGACGGAGAGAGCCAGAAGGTGGCAGTAATGCAGCAGAATAACTGCAAAACCCCCAAGATAGTTGACAATAAAGAAAAGGATTTATGTCCCTTCGCGGATTCCGTAGGTGCATTAGTTTACGGTAAAAAAAATGTTCATCTGGTAGTGTAAATTTAACGAATATAACGAACACATCAAAACTTTTGCAGGGCGTTGTGTATCTCTTGAGTCTACTCGATCATTTCCATAGCTATATCTTTTCTTTATTTCTTTATCGTAGCGGAAATTAGCCGTTCAAACAGTCAATGTGACAAACCCGGCGTTTATTTGTAACTCTGTGGTAGCATGTTGAAGGGCATGAGGTTGACGCTGTTGTCGAGAGTTAAAGCAGTCTCCGCTGACGTCATTTACAGATGCAGTTTAAGACACTACATAGGTAAGAAAGCATTGAGTTTGTTGAGTCCGAGTTGTGCGCCAGGATCAGTGCTGTGGAGGCCGAATGAGGGTTTCTTCAGAGAGGTCTGCACATCCACAACACTTCACGGGAAAATCGGGGGAAACAAGAGGAAGAATGATTTGTCCGAAAAGAAGTTGGTATGTGTCTAAACTGGTGATACGTTTATGTTTAAACAAGTTTCTGCAAAGTGTGAGGATCAGACCAGGACATTAAAAAAAAACTGTTTACCCTACTGAATTTAGACATACAATTCAGTATCATGCAGCTATACGTTTTACTTGCAAGTTGCAAGTTTCATGTGTTTAATTTTGACTTGACTAAAGAAGAGAGTTTATTTTATATCCTTTGCTTAAAACATTACTTCTAAAGTATTGTTAGTTAACTGCATTTTACATTCGATCTCAAAATTAGTCATATCCATGCACATGTAGACTTAATATAATTTTCATTTAACTAAGTCTGCTTCTGATGAGAAATGAGGCAAACACCTCTGAAATAATAAAACAAAAAGTGTTGTAACTTTGAATAGCTAAATGTTTTTTTTATTTACATTTTAATATAAAGCCAGCATAGATGTATTTAATCATCAATATTCCATGGTTACCTTTATTTGTATTCAATTAAGCTTTTCATATTGTCATCCACAGACGCGTCACTTTGTGGATTGTCGTCGTGTGAAGTTGGTTGCTGGTTCAGGAGGTAAAGGTGTCTGCAGCTTCCACAGCGAGCCCCGAAAAGAATGGGGTGGTCCTGATGGAGGAAACGGTGGCGATGGAGGAAGCATCATCATAAAGGGTAAGTCAGTTATCCATCTCATTTGTTGCAACAAATGCACATGGATTAATACACCAACCTGTCGATCTAATTAAAATTATAAAAATGGGCCCAATAGATCCAAGCCAAGACCAATGTTTTGCGAAATCAACAGGTGATGATGAGTGTAGCACCCGGTGACTGTGACTGGACGTGTTTTAATACCACACCAAATGTATTTGCTCTAATGAAAGGTTTAGGATTTATTTATGTTATAAAATACATTGCAGCATAGTGAATAAACATTAAAATCATTACCATGCCCTTTAAAATTGCCAAAAACAGTCCAGTCACTCTTTTCTAATAAAGGTATGGTACTTTTAATGTTTTCTCTGGCTCAGGAGTGGCTCAAAACAAGGAATGGGAATTAATGTGCCCAAAACTGTTGAATTGCTCTACAATCATTTTAAGGTTGTGCTTTTTATCCCTTCCAAATGGCCCTCTGTAAACAGATAGCTTCTGTAACAGTGACCTTTTACTGCTTTCCCTGTCGTGTCACAATTATGCAAATTATAACATGACTGGATTAACATATTTAAGTTTTAATAGTTTTTTTTTTAAAGTTTTTTTTAATGCTGTAATGTAATAGATTTTTAGAGAACTGAATTTTTGGTTTTAGTTACTTGTAAACTATATAGAAGTTAACATAAATAAATATATATAATATAGTAAGTGCCCGCTTAAAAATCAGGACAATATAAAAAAAAAATGTCAGAATTCATAATATATTTTTTTAGGATTTACTAAAACAAAAATAGCCATGAAAGTGAAATACCTTATACATTTTTCAAAAATTCATCGATGCTGAGTCTGCTTTCATTGACAGGTTTCATTTTCTATGCTTTCAGCCAACCGGTTTGTTAAATCATTGGCCCAAGTGACTCCAGTTTACAAAGCAGAGGACGGGCAGGCAGGGGGCAACAAGAACTGCTACGGTCGCAATGGCAACTCAACCTACATTTCTGTGAGTCGATGGGTTTTATCATCGTATCATCGATCGTATCATCGTTGTTTTGAGCTTATGGCCTTATCTAACTTCTCATTTGGTCTTCCTTATTAAAGGTACCAGTAGGAACAGTGGTGAAGGAGCAGGGCACGACCATAATGGACCTTGCCGAGCATGGCCAGGAGTATTTGGCAGTGTTTGGAGGTGCTGGTGGGAAGGGGAATCGTTTTTTTCTGTCAAACGAGAACCGGGCGCCTATGACGGCGACACCAGGCACGGCAGGCCAGGAGCGGGTTCTTCAGCTGGAGCTACGCACCATGGCTCATGCTGGACTGGTGGGAAGAAGATCTTATATCTGAGGAGGCATTTCAGATATTGCTTTTCAGTTTTGCTTGTGAATTTAATGTTTTGGGATTTTTTTTCTTCATGTTTTCAGGTTGGCTTTCCAAATGCTGGCAAATCATCACTATTAAGAGCCATCTCCAATGCCAGGCCTGCTGTGGCGGCTTACCCCTTTACAACACTCAATCCACATGTAGGAATCGTTGAATATAGGGATCATGAGCAAGTTGCAGGTACTTATCTTTAAAAAAAACACAAATTTGCTTAAGGACACACTTATTTATGATGAGATTTCAATTATTTCAGTGGCACTTAACTTTTGAAGGAAGCATGGGCTTGGCCTGATTATGAGTATCAATGTTTGAAAAAGTTTCAAACTTGTTTCAAGTAATTGATTAGCTCATGATTTTATATTCTGCGTGTGCAGTCGCTGACATCCCAGGGATCATTCGAGGTGCCCATCTAAATCGAGGCCTGGGGATCTCCTTCTTACGTCACATTGAGCGCTGTCGCTTCCTCCTCTTCGTCCTGGACCTCTCGGCACCAGAGCCGTGGACCCAACTGCAGCACCTGTGTTATGAACTGGACCAGTATGAGCCCGGTCTGTCCCAGCGGCCTCAGGCTATTGTTGCCAATAAAATGGACCTACCAGAGGCCCGGGAGAAGCTAGAGACCCTGAAGAGTCAGGTAACACAGCGGGTCATCCCAATTTCTGCTCTGACGGGACAAAATACAGAGGAACTCATTCTCCACCTCAGAGAGTTGTATGATGGCTACCTCCAAGATGATAGGAGTGAGGGAGTCAAACCAGTTAGGTGGTAGAGGACAATAATTAGTTATGGACAATATTTAATGTATTTAAATTTACTTTAAATAAAAAACCAAAACCAGCATTTGGTGTTGCATTCTTGACATTCTATTTTATACAGTACAAAATCACAGTCTAATTGAATAAAAAAATTTACAGTTTTTGTAGAGAGCATTTTAACAGATGGAAAAAAAAATCAGAGGACATGTAAGTTGTTTCAGCAATCCAATTTAAAAAGTGCAATAAATATAGAATTGATAGTTTCTAAAAAGTATATCCATACAGTGTCGGCTGCTCCTCAGTGCTCTGAAGGCTGCAGCTCTCTGCATTTTTCTACAACTGTTTTGTCCTTCCACTCAATTTTCCATGTATGCCTACCTACAGCACTCTGAGAAGACTCAATTACATTTTTGTGGATTTCTCTTTTTGTGAAGGATGTCATACACTGTCAGACAGCTGTAATTTTTTTTTTCAGTAATATTTTTAAAGTATGAAAATATTTACCATATAATAATTATTACATGTATTGGTCATTTAATATTCTAATTTTCTGAAGATTTGAAGTATAAATTTTACAAATGGTCTTTGGCTTGTAGAATTTTATCAAGTCCTCACACACACACACACACACACACACACTCATTGACACGCTGATGGTGGCGAGCTACTGGATTGTAGCCATCAGGTATGTTCCTTGCACATATCAAGTCTGTTTAAGTTTGTGCTCTTTTTGAGAAAATAAATCCTATCCAATGCCACACTTCAGCGGTTGTCTGAAGTGTGTTGTCTGACAAGTCCCAGATAAGTTTGGACTTAAATAAGTCGACTAAAGCAGCCACATTTTGATTTAAAATAATTCATAAAGTACATTTTCTTTTCTTATGCATTTTGTGAGTTTTTATGTTTCAACAAGCCACCCCATGTAGCATAACAGAAGCAATGTGGTACTCTACCAAACACGGACTACAAATTGGGACTGTAGCTGGGCTGAGAAATACACTTTTTAACAAGGTCACATGGACAGATGTTTGACAAGTTGTTTATTGAGAACTAACAAAAATGTAACATGACAATTTTCTGCCTACCCAACCACCCAGTAAGAAGGTTCCACTATTTGAAGCTTCTTCTGCTTGGTACTTATCCAGTGTTCGGTTTGTCTGAGAAGTCAGAGCCTGGATGTTCACAAATAGACAGTACAGGGTTGTGTGTGTGCCAAAGGTCAAAGAGATGAACTATCAGAATTGCCAATATATCTGCAACTCTTACTAAACATTAAATATTGAACTCTTCGTGGTTTAGCAACTCCTTATGTTGTTGGTGTTTCAAGTCAAAGTTTCAGAAACATCCTTTCAGCATTCCCGGAAAAGAAAATTAAAAATCTGACTTACAAGAAGAAACTGAAAGTCAGTTTCTTCATCTGGGTGTCTTTTCAGTCTCACTAGATGAAAAGACGCAGAGAACATTAACAAACTTAACAATTAAAAAGTTAATATACTGTACAAGTTATTAAAAAAAAAAAACAGAGTCCACAAGTGGTTAAAAACAAAAGACATTCAAAGCATCACAACTGAAAAATTCTCCAAAATGGAACTAATTCTGCCCATTTAGCAAAGTAAGACACAAATAAATAGATCCAATTTCTAAAAAAGAGCAACTTTTCATAATCACCAGAGCACGACCTGTTTCATACAGCAGCAAGCAAACTGCAACTGCTTTACCTCACAATCTATGTGTGGTGGACAAATGTAAATGTGCAGTACTTGACTTTAAAGGTGCATGATCTACATGCATATGTACATTGGGTACAAAATCTAGGTTTTCTGTTTATACACTTATCAAAAAGTCAACTTATATCTCTTTTTAATACCAAACTAGAGGGTGTGAGATATTGTCTTAAATTCCAGACTTCTCTGCCATAATGATCTTTTCCAAGGTCTTGAACTGTGGTCCAAGATCATCCAAAAAGCTTAAATCATCCCGTTGGTATTCAGATGACAGCAGATCCAGTGACATGCAACTGTCGCCATTCCCCTCATATTGATAAGGCTTGACATGGTCATCTGAGGTATCATCAGACATTGTTTGATTATCATTAGCCTCTGAAAGTTTCTGTGGATTCAAATGAAAAAAAAAAAACAAAACAAAAAAAACAAAACAGAAAAAAAAAACATTAACATAAATATAAAACACTCACTCAATTTTAACCAATGCATTTTTAGTTAAAAATACATAAGAGACTCAATAATTGTGCCTCATGCGATTGTGGACAGAAATTGATTTTATCATTATATTTTATCAGATGCACTACTGTGTCTTTGACTTTATCATTACTAAAATTGACACATATTATATTGTAGAAGATCCAAAGTTGTCATATGTGTAATGTGTGAGATACAGTAATCTTACCGTCAGAAGTATTTTGTCAATATTTGTCCAGGTAACCATAGAACTGCTGACGGAACTCTGCCAAAAGAAAACTTAAATGTTGGCTATTAAAAAACAAAACAAAACTGAAAATGCACTAATTCCTGCATACACTTCTATTGGGTTGATATTTTACGCATTTATCATAATCTGATTACATTGGTGCTCATGAACGTTGAACGATTTTATATTTTGTTGTAATAAAGCCATCATGCGGGCCGTCATGCTTGTGTATTGCTCAATGTTGTCCAATTGTGTTTCGCTTGATCTTGTTTGTCCAATCAGGCGGGTTCCTTGAGAAACGCCCCGCTCCTTTTGCTCGTCCAATCAGGTGTGGCTCTTGAGAAGCACCTTCTTTTGGAAATGCCTATTTCATCTGCACACAATACATACACTTGCAGACATTTTCCAAAGAGCTGGAGATCGTAAAGAGAGGGTGGTCTCAGCCAATAATCGCTAGTCAATTTCAGACTAGTAACTATGAGTGGTATCACTGTATTATCACTGCCTCTGAGAGCAGCATTGCAAATTATATTGCTAGGAATGCCTACTACTTGCAAGTAATTAACTTGATTTTGTCTTACAGTGTCTGTTTTCACATACATTTTCCCCCATTCGTCTGCAAAATGGCTCAGCTATCAGCCCAAAAGGAGTGCATCTATTAATCTAACATGTTTGATAAAATTAATTTCATTGTAACTTTGATATTTAATCTGATTCAAAATGAAATTTAACCTGTAAATAAATAAATAAATAAA